ATAAAATGAGGAGGTCATACCAGGTGGTTTTTGATTAAGATCCCTTATACCAGGTTTCTCAACAGCAACACTGTTGGCATTTGGGGCCAGATAACTTATTGTCTGAAGGGAGGGGCTCTGTCCCACACATGGTAGGGTATTTAACAGCATCCCCACCATCTGCCCACCAGATTCCAGTGGCACCCCCCACACAATCCAGGACAACAACCAAACCATCTCCGGACATTGCAGGATGTCCCAGGAGAGTGAAATTCCTGGCCTGAGAACCACTGCCTTGTAGCTTACTTCCATGAAAATGCTTGATTGCTAAGTGGCAAACTTGTCATTTTTTCCACATTTTTTTCAGACAGCCCAGTCTCTCTCTTGAGTATTTTTTAAACAGTATCTTATAAGCATCATACACTTTCTAAGTTCAGCTTCTCTCTAATTAAAGAAATTTCCATCTGTTTGTGCATATACTATATAGAGACGGATTAAAAATTGACTCTACGCAGAGATGAAGTAAACAGATGACTGTATGACAATGGCAGAGGTTCCTCATCAAGAACATAAGCCTGTGAAGGGTAAAGAAGGACTTTGGACTAGAGCCTGTTTTACACAAATAGAATCATAAAAGTGACCTGTCAAGAGCTATGATGAAGGCCGACCTTTCCTTGGCTTCCTCATTTTCATTTTTGAACTGTGCTTCTCCAAAATCCAAATGTAAACAGGCAAGCAAATGTTCTGATACACAATACATATTATATTTAGTTGGCAAGAACCTAGAATATACACTACATATTCTAAAACCTTATATGTAAAACCTTCTATTTATATTCTTTGGTAACTGTAAAGATGTATTTGTTTCTGTTCTCATTCAGAAAAATAACTTACTTGTAACTTAAAAAAACACCCATTTCACCTTAAATTCTATTCCTCATCCTTTAGCAGTTATGCATTTAGCTTAACACATGTATCATCTGATTGGTATTGTTCTCAAGGGAATTTTGGTTTTGCAGACTGATGCAGTGGCAAAGTGTCTTTTAAGGGTTACAGAAGCTGAAGAGAAGCCCTGTCCATGCACAGGGGAAGGGAAGCATCTTCAGTATTTTCTATCCTGTAGCTGGTGGGGGTAATTATAGTAACAGTAAGGAGGCTTGTCGTTTAGCATTAGACATCTTTCTTTAGTAATATTTGTCATGGACCATTTAGAACCTGTTGTTTTAAAAAATGCAAGACTTAGCTTTACCCTACCAGAGTCAATAACTAGCACCAGTATAAAAGTTTTTGGTGTATGAGGAAGTAAACTGACCTAAGAGACATTAAGGATTCTCTTTAATTTCCTGGCAGTTCAAATTATATCAGTAATATGCATTTCTGATTATATCTCAGATGTGCATAGTTTTTTTCCTTAAGAAGATCTTTCCATCCACAAAAGGTCTATTTATAGAGTTGACAGTTTTCAAACTCGGTGGTCAGACCCACGTCTGTAGCAGGTGGGACTGCGGTCCCTCTTCAAGAACAGTGGTGCGTTTTCTTTAGCCATGCAGAAGCTTTTTAATTTGATGAGATCCCATTTGTTTATTCTTTCCTTTATGCCCCTTGCTTTAGGGGACATATCATTGAAGATGTTGCTGCATAGACTATCTGAGATTTTCCTGCCTATGTTCTCCTCTAGGACTTTAATGGTGTCGCAACTTATATTTAAGTCTTTTGTCCACCTTGAATTGATTTTGGTGTATGGTGTAAGTGGGTGATCGAGTTTCATTTTTTTGCATGTAGCTGTCCAGCTCTCCCAACACCATTTGTCGAAGAAGCTGTTTTTACTTCATTTTATGCTTCTTTCCCCTTTGTCGAATATTAATCGACTGTAGAGTTTACTGAACTTTTGGGCTCTCTGTTCTGTTCCATTGGTCTATGGGTCTGTTCTTATGCCAGTACCAGACTGTTTTGATTACAGTGGCCTTGTAATACAGTTTGATATCAGGTATTGTGATCCCTCCTACTTTGTTCTTCTTTCTCAAAATTGCAGCAGCTATTTGGGGTCATTTATGGTTTCGTATATATTTTTGAAATGTTTGTTCTATATGCTAAGCAAAATAAGCCATGTGGTGAGGGACAGATATCTTATGATCTCACCTTTAACTGGGACATAATCAACAAAACAAAAATGCAAACAAACTATAACCAGAGACAATGAAATTAAGAACAATCTAACAACAGCCAGAGGGGAGCAGGGAGGGGACAGTGGGGAGAAGGGTTTTCAGGAACTACTATAAGGGACACATGGACAAAACCAAAGGGGAGGGTAGAAGAATGAAGGGAGGTGGGTTTGGAGGGGGTGCGGAGGGGTGTGGTGGGGAGAAAATGCAGACAACTGTAATTGAACAACAATAAAGTAATTTACGAAACAAAAAAATTTTTAAAAAAAGAACAGTAGTGTGGTGGCCGGGAGCAGCGTTAGAGGGGACACACAGGGCTGCAACGTGCTTAGACCCTCAGGACAGAACTGCCTCGGGGCCGGGCTCCACCACAGCTAAATGCTGCCAAAGGCAAGCTGGGTTATTTAACTAGACCTCCATGTCTTTGATATATATTAATAATTACATCAGACAGAACTCCGATCCTTCTGTGTCCATGCAGACTCTGATTCCCTCTGTATCCACAATAAAAAGTCACTTAACAAACATTCACCTCTGTTTTCTTCCCCTCTGCCCTCCCCAACCTCTGGCTGGTTACAACAGTCTGAGGTGTTGGATTGCAGACGAGGCCTGAGATGTAGTTATGTCTAGATTTCACTCCGTGTTGAAATGATACCCACGCTTCCTTTTACATCACAATCTCTAGTTCTTTACTTATTAATTTTGAACCATCTGTTCTCATGACTTTGCTTGAGGTTTTTTTTTTTTTTTTTTTTTCAGGAAGGGTACTCGGGTAGTAAATTTTCTGTCACCTTGAGTATTTGAGAAATTCTGTTGGCTTCATATACATGAACATCAATTTATCTATTTCTGGGATTTATACATCCTTGTGACATGTATTTTTTCTGGAAGTTATGAAAGTTTGTCCCATTTTATTCTCCCCTTCACTCTTCTGTTAACTAACTCATGCATTTTTTAAACTAGGAAATTTTTTCATTCTGTATCCCTAAATTCCATAAGAGCAGAGTGCTGTCTATTTTGTTCATAGCAGCCTATGATGCGCCTTTCACGGTACATGGCATAGGGGACACTGGAAATAGTTTTGAACGGCTCGCTTCTCTTTCATTCATCCTGGTTTCTCATTTACCAGGTACCGTGATTGTTCTGTCACTCCCATACCCTACCTTGTCTGTCTTTGTCTTCAGCTCTTCTCCTTTTGCTCTGCATTCCAGGCGGCCTCTCTCTACCCTCCATACCACTGGTTCTATTTTCTGCACGGTCAGTTCTGCTCTGTGTTGCTCGTAGAGGTTTACATCAGACTACAGGGATTTCAGGTTCTTGGATAATTTTCTTTTTAATCTCAGTCAGATACCTCTTATCTTTGATAGTTGTGGTTTTATTTCAACCCAATTTTTAAAAATAATCTTATCTTGTTGAAGAGGCTTTTTTTAAAAACCAATATATTTTGAGAATACTGAACAGATATTTTCTAAAATTTTCCTGAAATAAATTATTTCCTTCACAATTTCAGGTGAATTCTTAACTTTTTTTTTGTTCATCCTTTAACAAGAAAAATATATATTTAGACTTTGTGCCTTTCTAGTAGATTTAAAATGTACAAGTTACTAGAATTTAAAGGAACTTTGAAAAAAAAAGGAAAGAAAGAATTAGCCTCATGACTTGTTGAAGTAAATGTGATTAAAAAGTGGCAGAAAAGCCTTAGCCTCTAAAATAGCACTCATTTAGCTAATGGATTCCAGAAGTTAAACAGGGGAGTCAGCAGGATGCAGGGGCCGTCAGTGCTATAGTTGCAGATAACGGGTTAAGTCGGCTCCTCATGCAAATTAACTCATCAAGGCGCTTCCTTGAACAGACCCGAAGAAGCACTTGGACACTTAGTTTCTGCAGGAATTGGAGTCGAATCGGCATCAAGACAACAGAAAGGATATCAAATTGTTACGTTGTACACCTTAAATTTATACAACATTGTATATCTACTATATCTCAGTAAAACTGTAAATAATTTAATTTAAATAAAAAATAAATAAATTTTAAAAGAAAAGAACCTATTAAAAAAGGAAGCCTGAAGACAGGAATGACAAATTTTGCTCACCTCACAATACAGTCCCTTGGATGATCTCAGCAAAGTCTGTCTGATTGTCTTAAGAGCTTAAAAGTGAAGAGCCTACCATTTCTGAACTATATTAGCCATTCTAGAAACAGCTCTAAGAATGGAGGAAAGCGATACTTTATTTTTCTATGTGCATTAAAAATTAGAAGGGGGAAGGGGTAAGAAAAAATATTTTGGCTGTCCAAATTATTATTTGATAAATGCCTTAAATTTCATTATTTTAAGTACTTACTAGGTACTCAAGATAATAGCAGACTAACACTGAATATCAGAAATTATGGTTTTTAGCACAACTATTACTTCATTAATGGATTGCAGGACTTTCCTCTTACATCTTGTACTGGAAGCAGATCTGATCTCTGTTTCTGTAATGTCATAAGCCCATATTTCAAGGATATTCCTTCCATAAACCTTCCTTTTCATTCATTTTAATGAAAAGCTCATATGTAATCAAACTGACATCTGGCACTTTTATAAACTTAGCCAAATTTGCTTCTAATAATATTTGGGGAATAAATTCATGTACATGTATATTTAATGTGTTTGCGCACATATCTAAAAATACCAAATATATCCTTTTGAGAAAAATCTCAATACCACAAAACTAAGAACTTATCTAGAAGTCTTTGATTACTTGCATGATCATCATTAAACCTTTACTTTGACTTGCTCTCTAAGTTGGGGTGGAAGAGATCATACTCTGTTGCTGAGTGTGAAAAAATGTGACAGGACCCTTATGTCTCCTATAGATTCTTTACAGATTAAAAGAAAAGTTTCAGCTTTCTCTGAGACAAGACAAAGAGAAAAACCAGGAGATCCACCTGTCGCCCCTCGCCTTACAGCCAGCCCAGTCCGAGGCAAAGACAGGCAACAGCATGGTCCAGCCTGAGCAGGCGCCGAAGGTGCTGAGTGTGGTCGTGGACCCTCAAGGTCAATACGCTCCTGAGATCAAAGCTACCAGCTCGGTCTGCCCTTCTCCTTTCAAAATGAAACCCATAGGACTTCAAGAGAGGTAAGAGCTCTTTCCGTATCCCCCACATGTTGACTTTCTTTTAGAGTATTCACCAACTGAAAAGGATAGAACTAGAAATGATTGGATAATAAATAGAAATCGCTCACTCCCCAGTGGGCATCAGAAGGAAATAGCTTCTCTTGTCTTCCCAAGAATCTAGCTGTGTTACACAAAATCTTTTAGTTATATCGGATTTTGTTAAACTGGTATAGACCCAAGCCAAGCTCATCTTCAATGACAGGACGGCTTCTATCATCATTTACTGAGTGCTTGTTGAAGACCACTGCCCTATCCTGTTTAATTGTCATCAAAACTCTGGTAGATAGAACTGGAAATGAACTTCAGGCATTTCCCACCAAAGCCACTTGGCTTGGAGTGAGAGAGAAGGAGTTGACACCACCAATTAACTTTTTATAGTTTTCCCTCTGCTTCCTTTGAGCAAAACAAATATTATCTCAAGATTCATAACATTCTTTGTGTTCCCTTACCTGCCTTGGTAATGTTCTTATACATTGTCATTTAAAACAAATCCAATGTATGAAGCTAGAATATACAAAATTCATAAATGAGGGGTTAATGCTTTGTTTCCCCAAAATTTTAAGGAAAGATTTCACATAGTATTTTTAATAAGAAGGTTCATGATTATATTTAAAATATGATTTATATTATATTCAATACCACACATAGAAGTAGTAGAGGAACTAAAATATTTCAAGATACACTCACGAGTTCATTTTCTCCTTATTTGACTACATCTCCATTTTCTATTACCCTCCGTTTTGCTGCCTTAGGTGTGTAGATCACACGTGTAAATTTGGTTATATTTTCCATCCCGCACACATACATACCACATGCCTTTAGAAAATATACTTTGTGGCTTTAAGGACAGCAGAAGACTAAGTTTGTCATTCTAATTTCCTTGAAAGTATGAGGGGGGGACTAAAAAAACCAGAATTATCTTCTGGAGGTTTGGCCCCTTGTAGTATCGGCTTGTCTCACTAGGTGAGTGTTCTAGGAACCTGTCTGTATCAGTGTACCAGCTAGTGTTGTTGTAAGAGGCAGCATTTGGCTTCAGTGAATTGTTTTTAAAGACTGTTTCAACATGTTTTCTCATTTCATGATGGGTGATTTATGAACATACTTACCTACACCACACTGAGTATTCATCAGTTTTAACCAAAAACACTATGACCTTGATGCTCCATTCTCCCTATTCATTGGATCTCACCTGAGCAACGTTTTTTGCTTTCTTCAGATGAAAAATGTCCTCAAAGGGAAACATTTTGCCATTCTAGAGGAGGTGAAAGAAAAAACAGCAAAAGCACTAAAAGGCATCAAAATCAACGGGTTCAAAAACTGTTTTGAGCAATGGCAAAAAATGTCTCGATAGGTGTATTTCATCAAATGGGGAATACTTTGAAGGTAACTGAAGTTTGAACATGTAAGGATAAATACACAATTTTTATGAACAAATTTCATGCTGGGGGTCCCCTCTCACATTGTCAAAGAACAATGCATGAATTGAAAAGAAAGGCATTGTTGCAGTGAGCTCCAAAGTCCTTAAAGGAAAATGGAAAGCAATCAAGTCATTCTGGGCACTTCCTCCCCGCAAATATTTGATACTCTCCTGGTGAATCCAGGTACCGGTGAATTGCCATGTGAGCTGCAGTGTGGAAAGGCCAACAAGAAAGACCTTTTTTGCGGAAGCTAACCAGGATGCAGGAGACCTGGTTTTGAGACCCAGCTCTGCCATTTCTGGATTGAGTGGCTGCCCGAGCCTTTTGCCTATCTGTGCCTCACTTCCTTCTTCTGTAATATGAAGGGGTTATGCCTGACCTCTTCACCTCCTTCAGGTTCTCTTACTCTTGTCACCCAAATTAGTTTTGTGCGTTTACGTTTTCTTCCAAGGGAAACCTTGAAACAGGCATCTGAGCATCCGTGGTGCCCCAAGGTCAAGGTGGCAGAAAAGACCTGCTCAGGTGCCGGCACTAAGGAGGGGGTCATTTTCTATGGGTGATTTAAAGGGGATAATAAACCTGACTAAAAGTCAGACTACTTTTTATTATCATCATGAACCACCAATTGTAAGCAAGGTCAGTGATTAAATCCTCCAGGGAGGACGTATTCCCAGCATCCTGCCCTTTCTTGGCCATGGCTGGGAATGTTTGAATTTCAAGGAGCATAAAGATAAATATCCATTTATTCATTTAAATGAAGTGTATGGTTGATACATGAGAGCTGTAGCATGGCGTCTTACTCATGTTTGTGGTCCATGTGAGAGACTTGAGAGAACAAGTGTGTAATCAGTAATCAAACGGATTTCCTGCCCCCGACCTACAAACTCCCCTACGTCCCCACCCATTGCCTCCCACCTACTTCCCACCTCAAGCAGGAAGAAGCTCTTCTGTCCACAGAGGCTCCAGGTCATTCCCTCCCAATCATCGTAACCAACTCTCCCAATTCTCCTCCTGTTTTCAACTGTGCCCTCTTTGCTAAAGCTACCCCTCAGTACAGGCACAGGTTTCCTTTTTTATCAGAGAAACTCCCCTGACCCAATTTCTTTTCTGGTTCTTGCTTTCCTTCCTTTTCTGGATGTGTCTTACATGAGCAGAGTACATTTGCTGCCTTATTGGCCTTCTTCAAACTTCCATCCTTGATATTTCTCCCACATGTCTTTGCCAAGTTTCTCAGTGGACCAACCACAAAGTGTGTTTCATTTTCACATCTAGCACTAATGCCTACTTGTGTTCTGAAGAGACATTAGCACTCTCTCTTCCTTTGGCCTCCAAGACATTATTTTTTGGTACCAGGGTGGATACCTTTAGGCTCCCACATAGACTCCTTTCTCCCCTTAACTTCAGAGTTTCATCAAAGAGGTAGACCGAGCTGGAGGTACTTCTTTAGAAATCATTCATATCAGAGGTAGTAAGAGAAGAAGTGGTTGTGGTTGGATTATCCACCGAGGAGAGAAGAGGTGGAAAGGCCAGGCATGGAGTGAGGAATAGGACGAGACTATGAGAGAAATTCAAGCATCACTCTCTCTTGGAAGCCATTCCAAGCTTCCTCCACCCCCTGCCCCCTCTTTCTCTAGTCCACCTTGCCGACGCTGACTCAGCTGTCTCTCCTCTGTTCTCTTCTTCTCTAGCCCCATAACTCCATGTGCAGAGAGCATTTAAGACTTCCCCGGAGTAGGTAACATTTTTATTTACTAATGCCTTGTTCCCTAGACTCTAAACTTCTTGAGGGCACATACGTGATTTAGTTATCTCTTTGTCTCTTACACATAGATCATAATTTCTGAAGGAGCTCTTGCTCCTGGAAATAAATGCTCCTGGAAATAAATGCTTGAATGAATGAATGAATGAATGAATGAATGAATGAATGAATGAATGAATCATGAATAACTCCCAGGTCACCTTCCAGTAGTAGTAGGGAAGCACTCTGCTTATTTCATCATCCCTTTCTCATTTATCCTCACCCCATTTTTCTACCATAATTCCCTGCCACGAATGTGTAGTGATGAGTTTTAAGAATGATAAAATATTGAAGGATGTACAATGTTCCATAGAGTCAGAAAACTTTTCTTGGAGTTTTAAGCCTTAAAACTTCATATGTGCTCTGTACCTTTAAAATAGGTTTGTGTTTTACAGCCCTCCATCCTGATCCCAGGGTAAAATATTAATCCTTGTTCATTACATAAAAATTTGGCTTCTTTAAAATCATCATGAAACCATAAAGGCTACATTATAAGTCACTTGTCTCAAAATCTTTGTGGTCATGCCATATACGTCTCTCATCCCTGATGGGGAGAGTCTATTACTCTAACAGTACTAATAATAAAATATAATTTTTAATTAAAAATAAATAAAAGAAAATATAGAATTAAAATGTATATGTTTAACAAGTACGAAGTATATATCCTGAAAATTATGATTAAATTATGAAGATGAGAGAGAGCAGTTTCCTTGTTTATTTTCCCCCCTATTTCCAACTAGCCACCAAATCATATTGATGCTTGCTCCTTGGATTTTTCTCATTATTGATTCTCTCTTTTTGTAACCATTACCCTGGGGGCAAGATATTATTTCATATTTGAAGTGTTGTATCTTATGATTATAAAAGGATATCAAAAGGAGTGCATTTTATATTTCACACATTTTATTTCATCTTACCTGCCTGCTCTAATTCCCTTCTCTCCCTCAATTGTTGACGTGCTGTGTAAAAAGCCTCTCAGCTCCCCTTTGCCTGCAGGCTAAGGCACAGACCACCTTCTGGGCCTCAGAAGCCCTGCACTCTCTGGCCCTGACCATTCTCTCCAGATCTGCTGATCACTCTCCCTGCAACACAGACCTCCCGTTCCATCCTCCCTAGTCTCCCCAGGCTGCTGCGTTCCCAGCCACAGGTGTGTCTGTGTTCACCTGGGCCCTCTGCATCCTCCTTCTAGCCATCTCTAGTCTCCAGATCTCAACCTGAAACTTCCCTTCAGCCATCGCCACAGTCCTGTCCTTGTCCACCATGATTTTTAACAGCTCTGAATTCTCATGTGTGCCACTCCTCGGGCGGTGGTCTCAGTCAAAGACTAATTCAGAAAGGGACAGAAACCAGTTTTGGAGTGGTCCGACCTGTCCCTTTATCAGCTTGTGAAGATCTTAAGGACGGGGATGGGCTCAAGATATTCCTGTGCCTTCCACGGTCTTGTAATCTTGGTGCCTAGCAAACACTTGGGAAGTATGACAGAGTTAATTAATTAATTCATGTTCCTTTACATCTTAGGATCTCATATATTTCTAAAGAAACTTCTATAAGAACAAATAACCTAACGATAAACTATAGAGCTGAGTTTCTGTGCTAATATTACTTCTGCTATTTACTAAATAAGTGATTAAACAAGTTAATTAAATCCTTAGTTTTCCCAAGCTACAAATAAGTATGAAAATATCTGTTTTACCTTTTTTAAAGCACCCCATAAAACCAACAATGAATATGAAATGGCATCATGC